GTACATTGGGATTTCTAATTTAACTGAGTGCACTTGCACCAAAGATAGCAGGAAACCGTGAAATCTATGATAATAACAATAATAATAACCATTACATGTGATACAGCGCTTTCATTTTGAGAAGATGTCTCAAAGTCCTTCACAGGTTATACTGTAATGTATAGTGTTTTTTGCAGGCAATCGCAGCAGCAATTTGTGCACATCAATGTCTCACAAACATCCATGAAGTGAATGACCAATTAATAATATAATAATCCTTGCATTTGATATCGCGCTTTTCATGTCTTCCCGACATCTCAAAGCGCTTTAGAAAATATGCTGTAAAGTGAATTGACTGTATATTTGTGGGTGAAACGCGGCAGCCAATTGAGCACAGCAATGTCCCACAAACAGTCGTGGATTGAAAATGACGAATGTATTATTGTTTTTGTTTTTTGGAGGGATTATTATTAGGCGTGTGGAGTAAGGAAACTTACCCAAGGTTTCGCCCTGCCTGGAATTGAACCCAGTGTCTCGCTTGCAAGGCAAGCGCTCTAACCACTGAGCTACAGGACTCCACTGAAATAATTGTATGTTTCAGTGTCATCTTAGATTATATGAAATCCAAGACCTAACAAACCCTCAACCTTCTGAGTCAAAGGTGAGAGTGCTATCATCTGGACCAGGATGACAATAATATTGATAGTAATCCTTGCATTTGATTCACATTTGGAGTCCGTCTCAAAGCGTTTAAACAGAATTCACTGTAAAGTGAAATGTTGACAAGATGGAAGCCATACTCCTCGGCTCCCGTCAACATCTTCTGTCCTGCGGCTCTGACTCCCTTAACCTCCCCAACCTATCCTTTAGACTCATCGAACCGGTGCACAATGTAGCCATCAATCCACAACTGCCCTTCCTTCCCCACATCTGGTCCCTAACCAGGACCGCCTTCCTCCACCTCCGCCACATTGCCAGCCTCTGACCATATCTTACCTTATTCCAGATATAGCTGAAACCCTCATCCATGTGTTCGTCACCTCCCGCCTCGACTATTCAAATGAACCTCCTTACTGGTCTCCCCAACTCCACCATGCACAAAATCCAGTTGATTCAAAACTCTACCACCTGCATGCTAACCCAACTAAACTCCGTACCCCCATCACAACAGTCCTAGCCAGGCTCCACTGGCTCACTATGATCGGACAGATTGATTTCAAGATCCTCACACTTATTTTCAAATCTCTTTATGCCCTGGGACTTCCCTACTTCTCCGACTTGCTTACACCCCAACCCACAACCCGCTGCCTCCCCTCGACTGACTCTGGACTCCTGCATTTCCCTCATGCCATTCATTTCACTATCGGAGGCTACACTTTCAGCCACTACACCACAAAACTCTGGAGCACTCTTCCTGTATCCCTCTGCCTTACCCTTTCCTTCCCCATCTTCAGATCACAACTGAAGACTTTCCTCTTCAACTGTGCCTACGGTCACCTCCCCTCCTCCCGTCATGCTCTGCCACTGTGAAGTGCTGTGGGACGCTACCCTGCATGAAGCGAGCTATATAATTGCTTGTTGTTGTTGTGTGTAGGTGTGTATTTTGTAGGTAAACACAGCAGCCAATTTGCATACAAAAAGTCCTGCCAACTATTTAGTGAGTGACCAATTTTACTTGGGTGTTTGTTGGCCATGACACTGGCAGAAACTCCCTTCTGTTTTCGTATAGTGCTGTGGGATCCATGACATCCGCCTGAGCAGACAGGCTGGGTCTTTAGTTTAATATCTCATCCAAAGGATGGCACCGTCCAACAATGCAGCAATCCCCCAGCGCTGCATTTGGAGTGTCAGCCGGTCTGTGAGTTCAAAATCCTGACGTGGGGCTTGAAGTTACATCCTTCTGACTCAGAGGCAAGAGTGCTACCAAATGAGCCAGGCTGCCAACTATTGCAGGAAAATTGGTAGAAAAATGGAGTACAAAGGTACAAGATATTTATTATATAAAATAAAACAGATAATTAATCGTGGTGATGAAGAAAAGCTTGGCACAGCTGTATTGTACAACATTGTTTTATATTAATAGACCATTCAATCCCAGCGGAGAGACAAGACATGAGTTACAAAAGCTTGTATCTTGCCAAACTATTGGAAATTTGTCTAGTGCTAAATCTTGCAGAAACATTTATACTGGAAGAGAGCTCTAGCTGATGAAGGGGACTGGAAGCTGTGTCTGTGCATTCATTTTCAGTCCCCTATTCCTTAGTACAAAGCTGGCTGGAATCTTTATTACAAAAGGGGAGACAATTGGTAACACCAATTGAGATGTTTCTCGGTCTTAATATGGATGCAACTGGTGTAAAGGCTATGGATTTTATAATGCATTGTATTTTTCACATTTGCAGACCCCGGAAACTCTTCTGCATCAATTGCCGAATGAAACCCGATCATAGTCGATCGTATCTTTTTTCCAAGGGTGTGTTGTTTTACACGCTGCACTGTTCCTCCTTCCTCACGTCGCACATCATCTCCTTCCCCCCTCTGCAGCTTCCGGCACAGCACTATGGAAGTGCAGGAGAACAAATGGCATTTCCTCCCTCCTCATTTCTCCCACCCTCCTCCATTCACACCAATCTTTACAATGCCTGGTACCTGTGCATCCAGTGCTTGCAAAAGGGAAATCACAACAGCGATAAAAGTGATGGGGTCAGTTGCTGAGCAGGGGAGAAGGGAGTGGGTGCTGACCGTAGGTCAAAGAGGTAGGTTTTACAGCGATATTTAAAGACAGATAGTAAGCAGGACAGATGGAGGGTTTGAGGCTGGGATGAGGGGAAGTTCCAAATGTTAGGGGCGTAGTGATTGAAAGCATTTAGTGGATCACACGGTGTCACAAAGCCAAGAGTTTGTGGGCTGACTGTGAGTGGTCATTCCATACAGACCTGTCCGCTCACTCTGCTCCTCCTGCTCCATGCCTCCACCCGGCCCATCTCACCAACAGCAGTCACGCCTTCAGCCTCTCTGCCCCCACCCTCTGGAACTCCGTCCCACAGTCCATCACCTCTCCCCTTCCCTTGCCTCCTTCAAGACCTTCCTCTCGACCATGCCTTCAGTCACCCTCCTACCCCTACCTTTCCCATCATCCTGATCCCAGCTGAGGTCCAAACTTGGACTGTCCAGCTCTTTGGGATATCCTCCCGCCGTGAAAGGTACAGCTGAGTCTGTGAGTTCAAAATCCTGACTTGGGACTTGAAACAGCAACCTTATGACTCAGAGGCGAGAGTGCTACCAAATGAGCCAGGCTGCCAACTAATGCAGGAAAATTGGTTGAAGAATAGAGTGCAAGTTACAAGATAATTTATTATGTCACAGATAATTAATAGTGGTGATGAATAAAGGCTTGGCACAGCTGTATTATACAACATAGTTTTACATTAATAAGACTATTGAGAGTATTACCAACAGCAGTAGTAATTTGTTGTTGTTGTTGACATGTGCGTGGGGAGAAGCAGAGAGCCACAAGACATCACGTCAGTTGCCTTTATATTATCTGAATTGATTTCCTTCATAAGAAATCATTTTCTGAGGGTAGTATAGTCAGCAGCTATGAAATGTCAATCGATTTGAGACCCATTGTAAACAACTGCATTTTAGGGTTGATTTGATACTATTTCTGCAGCAATTTGATGCTCTAGGTGCTGTGTAAATGGGGTGTATGGCATCCCATCATTTAAATCATGTGCTTGATCACACCGTGCTATTGTGCAGGTATGACAAGGCCTCCCTGCAGATAGTAATTAGATTTTAGTTTTCATAAAGATTGATTTTTGTTTTCTAATTTGTGAGGATTCTAGCAATACCAACAGAGATGTAGCTTTGTTCGTACGCAGTTGGATTTAACCATCAAAACCATATTTTATTACAGATCAATAACCCCAGCAGCTCTGTAGGTAATGGTTCATTAACGTGTGAGAGCTGGTGGCTGGGGCTAGATGCTCCAGGAGATGAACTAGCAGTAGCTGAGAATCGATGGCTCGAATGGCCTCCTCCTAAGCTCTCAGTTCTAGGATGCTGAAAACTGTTTATAGTGGGAATGGATCACTTAGAATTACGAAGATCATCACAGCACAGAACAGGCCATTCAGCCCAACTTGGCCACAGAACCAAAGAAATTCACAGCGCAGAAGAAGACCGTTTGGTCTATCAAGTCTTTGCTGGCTCTTCTAAGAGCAAACTTTTCAGACCCAATGACCTCCTTTTCCGCACACCCCTGCCGCTTACTCCTTGTTAGGAATTTAGCACTCCGAGACGCTGGCCTGCAAGTTATTGTGCCCAAATCCTCATTTGAATGTTGATATGGATTACACAGCGCTCCCAGCAGACATTCCATGCTGGAGTTTATACTCTACATGAGCCGCCCCTACGGTGTCGGTCTGCCAACAATTTATTATGAAAGAATACGTGAAGTTTAACGTGAATATATCTTAAAGATTATCATTTCCATAATTTGTGATGGTCTCACTGAGTTGTTATCCCAATGTGAATTACAGTCCTGTAGCTCAGTGGTTAGAGCACTTGCTTCCCAAGCGAGAGCACCCGGGTTTGATTCCCGGGCAGGGTGAAACGTTGGGTAAGTTCCTTACTCCATGTGCATCTGTTTACCTAGCAGTAAGCAGGAACCTGGTTGTTAGTCGATTGGCAACTGTTTGTGGGACGCTGCTGTGCGCAATCGGATGCCTCGTTTCGCCCACAAAATATACAGTCAATTAACTTTACAGTATATTCTGTGAAGCGCTTTAAGACGTCTCCAAGATGTGATCAGGTGCTATATCAAATGCAAGGATTATAATTATTATTATTATTATAGCTGACTCTAATTTCTGTGCCTGTTTTGATCCCTGTCCAACATTTTTCTCTCAACTTTGAGGGTTGGGGGATGCACAGGCGTTTAAAGAGAGTTAGCAGTCAGTCAGTCACCCCTAGTTTTCTATTTATTGTTTAATGATTCTCTTTAATGTGTTTTGCAGGTTGACGGGATTTCAAGTGCCTCCCCCGGTGGTGAGCTCGGGCTCTGTGGTCAGTCTGTGGCTGACCAGTGACTATGCAGTCAGCGCCCAAGGTTTCAGAGCAGTGTACGAGGGTAGGTGCTGATTTTACCTCTGCTCTTTCCCCCATGTAGAGACAACTTTCGCATGTTGCACAACCGTGTTGTGAATTCCGTGTCATCCAAAGGTCAGTTGTTAAAATGCATTTTAAAAAAAACAGACCAAATCTTCACATTCTGCGCCAAACAGTTTTGAGGAAGATTGTGCATCTCGGTTCACTGAGCACGGAAGCCGTTTCACAGGGGAAAATCTAATTCACCTGCAGTTATTTTAGGAAATGTTTCTTTTTGTGTTTGTTCGGGCTAACGATCCACCCTTTTATACTCCCAAGACTGTTTTGATTTTTTGACTTGAAGCCAAATGGTGTTGCAGTGGTGACAGAGGAACCTGAGAGAGGAGAGGAGTCCCTTTCAGATCTGGGTCTGCACTGTAGAGACAAAAGCGTGGGAGAGGGTGATGGAGTGTGTGTGTAGTCAGGAGGTGGGGGTGTTAGTGGGGGTGGGGTGGGCTTGTGAATGGGGTTATGGGTGAGGGAGGGGTGTTGGGTCTGAGTGGGGCTGGGAGGTGGGACTGGGTGGGAGTGTGGGGTTGTGGGTGGGGTTGTGGAGTGGGGGTCTGGGTGGGAGTGGGTCTGGGTGGGAGTGTGGATGGAGTCGTTGGGGGTCGGTCTGGGTGGGAGTGTGGGGGTGTGGGTGGGGTCGTGGGGGTGGGTCTGGGTGGGGGTGTGGGTGGGTCTGGGTTGGAAAGTGGGTAGTTCTGGGTGGGGGTGTGGGGGGGATGGGCCTGGGTGGGAGTGTGGGTGGGTCTGGATGGGGGTGTGGGGGGGATGGGCCTGGGTGGGAGTGTGGGTGGGTTTGGGTACGGGTGTGGGGGGGATGGGCCTGGGTGGGAGTGTGGGTGGGTCTGGGTGGGGGTGTGGGTGAAACAAGGATGTGGACGTGGACAGTAAGGCTTACATTCAGACTTCAGATATTTGCTTTCCTATCAGATATTCAAGGGTATTTGCTCCTCTTGGAAACGACCTGGGTTGAGATTCTCGAGGTCACTGGATTTCAGAACAACAGCTTTGATTGCCTTGACATTTATTGTTAGCACAAAAAACATTCCAACTTCACAAGGTATCCTCCTCCCCCGGACTCCAGAACGTTGTCTCCTCACACAGGAAGTTACACGAACAGTCCTCACTCGAGTTAATGACGTAAAATGTCTGACGCAGACCAGAGACTAGGCTGAGATGTGGAGATGATATTTGTGTGTTGCACAGCCATGTCCTGAATTTCATGTCATCCAAAGGACAAGAGTGTAGATGCACTTGTCTGACAGTGACCATAGTCCAGGCTGAGTGTTTCATGAAGCTACGCTCGCTGTGTAGGATGCAGGTCTTGTGTCGTTCAGTGCTCTGTAAATACCAGTGCCCATCAAACTGGAGATGGGTCTCATTTGTGTCAGATATACAGCGCTATTCTGCTCTGATATTGGCTCCTCAGTTCTGTTCTGCTCTGTTGGGCGTCAGCTCACTCAGTTAATGCTTTATTCCTGTAGAAAATGACTCGATATTTATTCAGTGCAGATTATCCGTGGTGGGTGAGAAGAGATGAGTGTGTAGGGATGGCAAATGTCGTGGGGAAAAGTTTCGGGGGTGTTGCATGGGAGTGTGAATGTTGGGAGTTCATCTGGGATTGGGGGGATGGGATGGTAAATATGGGGCATCGTTTGGGGTGAGGAAGGGTGGGGAGATTAGCGAGTGTGACACAGCTTTCTCTTTTGACTGTGTGGCTTCTGAAAAGTTGCACTTATCCGGTTTCATGTTGCTTCTGCGAAAACAGGGAGATTGTGAGTTTGATGAATTATGCGGATTCAAGGCTGTACTAACTAATTAGTTTTGAAATCAAATATTTGAGGCTGGAGATCGCTCTGCCAACATGTTCCTGTGCAAACTGCTGAACACCAACTAACTGAGATGCACAACCGGTGAGAACAGGCAGCACAGGAGGGTGGGCTGAAGTGGTGGGTGGGGAATGGGGGGCTGGATGGAGGGAGGGTGTGGGGGTGGCGAGGGGATTAGGGGTGGAGTGGAGGGTGGGCGTGGGGCTGGATGGAAGGAGGGTGGAGGGGAGAGGGGATGAAGGGTGGGGTGAGGTGTGGGATAATTTCAAGAAAATGTTTTTTCCCGAGAAGAGCGAGAGTGAACGAGACGGTTGAACAGATCACTGCTGCCAGCACACCCCACGCTCACCAGCTGATGAATGAGAGCGTTCACATCATTTTCTCTTTTGTTAAGAAGGACGGAGTTTTTGCTTTTGCCGTCAGCATTATTTTAAAAGTCAGATAATTGCAAAGAATTATTATTAGCATCCATTTATTCTTTCGCATTAGTTTCCTGCGTGTCAGAGCTGACAACATCGGGGAAAATTGATGGTAATAAATCATTGAACCTGACTGTGAGAGAACTAGATTCTTATTAATGCAGATAACATCTCCAACCGGGGAAAGATCAGTTTCAACTCTAAATGTTAATTCAATTCCCTCACACCGCAGGACTCAATGATTCTGTCAAGAGGGTACTTTAAAATGATGTCATGAGCGCTTCATTGTTCAAACACAATCAAACAAAATCAAACTAAATACAGAGGCTTTGCAGTTATCCCCAACTCTTTGCCACAATTTGTCTGGTGATAATTTGGTCGCGTTTATGGAGATTTTGTCTTCAAACATTTGTTTTGTTCTCAAATCATATTTGTATCTTCTGCTCATGATCGCAATGAATAGTTAGGTTTTAAATGGGATTTATTTCCTGTTTGTTATTGTTGCTGTAAATGTTGTTGTCTTCTGCGTATCTGTTAGTGTTAATGTCCAACCTTCTGCATGTCCCTCGTGCCTTCCGTTCCACCATCAATGGCCACACTTTCAGCCACTATGACCCAGAACTCTGGAATACTCTGCCTTGCCCCTTCCTTCCCCATCTTCAGGTCGTTCCTGAAGACTCTCCTCTTAGACCGTGTCTGTGGTCATCTCCCTCTCCTCACGGCCCAGCGTCCTTGTCAGTGCTCCACCATTGTTAAGTGCTCTGGGGCGCTACCCTGCATGAAGGGTAGTGTATAAATGCAAGTTGTTGTTGTTGGACTGTTCAGTCTGATTTGACGCCTGTGTTCAACAGTGAGCCAAACTATTGGTTTCACAGTGATCAGCACGCACAAGAGGATATTGATATAAAGCCAACCTCCTCACTGCTGGGCCATCATTTTATTGCACTTTTATTTGTAATAAAATGGCACTGACAGGATTGCCTTCAGGACAGCAGACACACTGGGCCGAGTGGCCTACTTCAATGCTGTAAGTTTCTATGGCTCTGTCACTAAACTGTTTAATGTTAAAAGCTGTATTAATCTTGTTGTGATAAATAGTTGAATGGAACACTCATTGTGAGCAGGTGGTAGCCCCGTCTGTTGCCGGTGACGATGTCAGACATTTAATATCAGCCCCATAAAAACTGTTGTTGTTCGTTGGGTACAAAGTGACCATTTTGAGCCATAATAAAAACATAAGAACATAAGAATTAGGAGCAGGAGTAGGCCATTCGGCCCTTCGTGCCTGCTCCGCCATTCAATAAGATCATGGCTGATCTTCTCACCTAACTCTGATTACCTGCCCTATCCCCATATCCCCTAATCCCTCTATTTTTCAAGAATCTATCAGTCTCAGCCTTGAAAATGTTCAAGGACTGAGCATCTACAGCCTTCTGGGGAGTGAATTCCATAAGTTCACTACCCTCTGAGTGAAGAAATGTTTCCTCAACTCTGTTCTAAAAGGCTGAACCTTAATTTTAAAACTGTGACCTCTGGTTATAGATTCTCCTCCAGGGGAAACAGTCCCTCTGTGTCTACTTTATCAGTCCTTTAAGAATCTTATAAGTTTCAATAAGATCCCCCCTAATTCTTCTGTACTCCAGAGAATACAGCCCTAGTTTATTCAGCCTATCCTCATAGGTCAGTCCCCTCATCCCAGGAACTAACCGAGTGAATCTACGCTGCACCCTCTCGGGGGCAAGTATGTCCTTTTTTAAATAAGGAGACCAAAACTGCACACAATACTCCAGGTGCGGTCTCACCAAAGCCCTATACAGTTGCAGCAAGACTTCCCTACTCTTATATTCTAAACCTTTCGAAATGAACGCTAACTGCCGTTCGCCTTCTTAGTTGCTGCTGCACCTGCAAACTAACTTTTTGGGACTGGTGTACAAGGACACCCAAATCCCTTTGAATACTAACTCTATCTAACTTCTCCCCTTCCAGAAAATAATCTGTTCTTTTATTCTTGCTACCGAGGTGAATAATTTCACACTTGCTAACATTGAATTCCATCTGCCACCTACTTGCCCACTCCCCGCGCCTATCTATATCTCGTTGCAATCTTTTTGCATCATCCTGAGAGCTCACTCTGCTGCCTAGTTTAGTATCATCCGCGAATTTAGACACATTACATTCAATGTCCTCGTCCAGATCATTGATGTAAATGGTAAATAGCTGAGGCCCAAGCACTGATCCTTGTGGCACTCCACTAGTTACATCTCCTGCCAATTCGAGAATGATCCGTTTATCACTACTCTCTGCTTTCTACCCGATAGCCACTCTTCTATCCATGTTAATATTTTCCCATTAATCCCGTGGGCCTTGATCTTGAGTAACAGCCTTTTGTGTGGCACCTTGTCAAATGCCTTCCTAAAATCCAAATATACCACATCTACTGGTTCCCCCTTATCCAACCTGCTGGATACATCCTCAAAAAATTCTAAAAGGTTAGTCAAGCATGACTTCCCTTTTGTAAAGCCATGTTGACTCTGCCTAATCTTTTTATGGTCTTCCAGGTATCCCATAACTACGTCTTTTATTAAGGACTCAAGAATTTTCCCTACAACTGACGTCTTCCCTATTTTCTCTCCCACCCTTCTTAAATAGTGGAGTTACGTTTGCAATCTTCCAATCAATGGGAACTTTTCCAGTATCCACAGACTTTTGGAAGATTATGCCACCTCCTT